AAATATATATATATATATATATATAATTTAAATAATTTTAAATTATTTAAAACTAAAAAATATTTTACTTCAATATTCACATACTACCTCTCCAACGTGCAAACGCATATGCCTCTCTAGCCTCCACGGTCGTTCGAACATGGCATGGCAGTCAGGATAAGTGCAATTATACTTTTTGTTTTGCTTAATATTATTGCTTAGATTAATGTTCATGGCGATCTTTTTAATTTTATTGTCTTGAACTTCTACTTGACCCATTTTGACATAATTAAAATATCAGCTAAATCAGAACCGACGGCTTTTTTTAAATCTAAACTCTAAATTGTCCACTTCATTGACTACGTTTTGGAAGTTTCTGTCTGATTCTGAACAAATCTGAAACTTGTATAACCTGTAATTAGTGCAGCTCTGACGCAGTGAAAAAGACTAAACCTTTTGACATAACAGATTTCCTAACCTTCGCGCAAAGTCAGCTTTACACGCAGAATCTCTCGTGCAAAAACACGATGAATGTAACTTCGTTAAGGTTTAAGGTGAAGTTAAACTAGAATTTTGTCAAAAATTTCTTTATTACTACTATTTAAGGTGAAGTCCGTCTGTTACAATTTTATTCAAATCGCGGACGATGTATTCAGCAAATATACGCACTAGCGTAACACGCGCTTTTCGTATGCGAAGAGAAATACACGATAATGCGACGTTGGTCGAACAGTGTACGGAAATTGTGAATCGAAATCCACGAAATTTAGAGCGGTTGAGAATAGCAAGAAAACCTCAGGGTTATCATCTCGAAGTACCCGGACACTCATACTGGCACAAGTATTTATAATAAGTTGATATTTATGTTTATATTTATATTTTAATCATTCTTTTTTTATAATATATATGTATCATAATCAACGATTTTGTTTTTCACAATTGTATAGGCTGTTTGTGACCAAAAAACCTCGATATATCGTTGCAGAGGTCCACCACTTCAAAAATGGACCAGTTATCACAGTATCTAGTAATGAATGGGCATTAAAGAAACAGTTGTATCGGTACGGAGATGTTATTTTTAAGTTATTAAAAGTGTTTTCTATATTTTTATTCTTATGTGCATATGTATTTACTCTATATTTATAAATATTCTAGAGGTACTGATGGTTCAGCTTATATTAATGTCGCACGCTTGTTAGCTCTGCGTTGTTTGGAAGCTGGAATCTGTGAAATGGAAGTTAATTCTGATTTGAAGGGAGAAAAGTGTGAGTTGTTACTTAAAGAACTAGAGAATGGTGGAATTATTCTGACCGAACCACTAGTATATAAATATCCCAACTCTTGGGATAGATATAGACCAGAAAAGCCATGGGAAATTCATGAATAATATTTGATCAATATAAATAAGCACACAAGCTAATAATGTTTATATCATGTAAGTGATATGTAAAATATGTTGATACATTCGCGACCGGTAACGTAGTCCTACGTTAGTCATTTTTAAAATCTAGCTGAGGACGCAATGTAGTTCTACGTTAATTTAATATTAATTTTCAATAATGAGTTTAAGCTCTTAAGTTCTAAACTACGCGAAACGGTCATGGGAGTAAAAAATATTATATATATATATATATATATATGTATATATAAATATAATATTCAGCTTATTATATATACATATATATATATATATAATATTCAGCTACTCTCATGACCGTTTCGCGTAGTTTAGAACTTAAGAGCTTAAGCTCATTATTGAAAATTAATATTAAATTAACGTAGAACTACATAAATATATATGTGTGTGTGTATATATATATATATATATATATATACTCGTATATATATATAATATATTTATAATATATTATTTATTATATATACAGGGTGTCCGACAATTACTTTAGCATCTCTCGTAGGCAGATAGAAGGAGTAAAACTGAGTCGAAAAGTCCTGAACCATTTTTTTCTATTACATGTAATAAAGGAGTAATTATTGATTAAATCAAGCCAATCAGCGCCGACCTTTAGCCGAACGCACGTCAGTGAACAACACGTTTGGTGTGCGTGAGTGCTCCGCGCGGCTCACTGACGTGAGCCCGGCTAAAGGTCGGCGCTGATTTATTCAACAATTACTCCTTTATTATATGTAATAGAAAAAAATGGTTCAGGACTTTTCGACTTAGTTTTACTCTTTCTACCTGCCTACGAGAGATGTTAAAGTAATTGTCGGACACTGTATATATATATATATATATATATTTATTACGCAACAAACATCCAGCGTGGACTTCCATGACCAATATATATTGCACTTCACGTGTAAATTTTCACATGTGTTTTGAAATGAAAATTCAATTTCTAAATTCATACTGGATACTATACTTGCATTACGTACATGAAAAATCCGTTTACCTCTCTATATCCACTAATTTTAAAATATTGCGAAAAAACACTTCGGCCAGGAGTCGAATCTGGAATCTCCGGCTTTCCGTGCCATCGCTTTCTCAATTCGGCCAAATTTACATGTAAAATGTAAATATATACATATATATATATAAAATATATATTTATTATGCAACAAACATTCAGCGTGGGCTTCCATGACCGTTTAAAATTTCACGTAGTTTGTAATATCAATTTTATTTGTTTAATAAACATAGTCTAACATGATGAAGCAATATTTTGTATATTTCCACCTATAAATAACAAAACTTTGCGATCTTTAGATAATGCCTCGCTTTTTTAAAGTCGCCGATCGGGAATGTATTGATAGACTCTTCAAAGTAAAATAAGATTATAATAATTTAGTTAATATACATGTTTTATTATTGTGTGAATGTTTATTCATTGTAAAATGCCTAATACAGCACTTTACATTTTGTACATTGCAGTTCTAAGAATAAAAAATCAATAAATAATTGTGTTGCGTTGCACACTGTTAAATAAACATCTAGTCTATTAAAGATAAAGTTACTACATCTGACTTATGAATTATATCATTACTGAAGACAAGTACCATTTTACACAGATCAGATGATTCATATTGTGTTATAATTGGAACGATATCATTCGTGTATCAATTATAATAGAAATTTTTTTTACTTTACATTATATAAATATACACATCACATTATGCCTCACTACACAAAGATAATCTTAAAAAATTAAGAAAAATAAATTATAGTGTTGTATTAACATTTTTACTTTTATTAAAAATATTTTATTCATGAGATAAATAGCATGAAAATTTTAATGTTACTCTTAAATTGTGTGTATATCAATAATCGCTTAATTAATATACTGATGACTACAAATAGTCATCAAAGTATGTGATATTTTTTTACGGAAGACAGTATGATTCATATCTATATTTTTATTACCTCGTTCTGGAAAGGTGTGTTTTACAAAAACACATTGTTTTTTTTTGTTTGTATATACTTGTAGGCCGCAATCAAATCATTTCCGATATGCAACAACTTAACCCTCCGTTTGCATAATGGGGATTTCAGTTTCCAAAGCCCAATTTTTCTGCATCTACCTTCAAATTTTTATTTTTCTTGCAAAAGGGTTTTAATATCCTGGTTAAATATCGCTTCTGCATCAAAGTAGACACCTTATAAGATATCTCAGAATTTTCTAAGATTTTTTTAAAGCCTACAACAGTAAGAAAATAGGTCTGGGACTTTCAGACTCGGTTATGCAGACGGCGTTAGCAAAAAACCATATTGCAGACGGAGAATTAATTTTTCATGTAAACATATACTGTCCTAATATACGTTTTTGTTCTTGTTTTTAATAATACTTCATAAGCAACTATACAGTTATAAAAATGAAGAAAAAAGTTTTAATTAAATTAAGTAGGGACGCGTAATTACGTATTAACACTTTGCTAACCGAATCACGAATATACTCGTGTTTTCATGCCCGAACGTCGCTGACCGGTTAACTCGTGTTTTCACTTACATTAGTTTATGCAAGTTTTAAGCCTGAAAGCAATCTAAGAGTTTTTTTTATAAGAGCGTTCTAGATCATATTCTTAGTTATTTTAGCCGGCTGCACGGGATAGTTTTTTGGCTTGAAATAGCCGGTCAGCAAAGTATTAAGAGAAAAGGAGAGCGATATAACGTGTCTATGTCACTTAAACTTCATTGACTGTAAAATGATAATGCCACTGTTACAGAATAGTATAATGAATGAATATCCATGTAGGAGCTTTAAGATCAAAAACAAGGATTATAAAATTAATAAATAATAGCATGTTTTACTTGCAGGTGTAAATATCGATATTTTTCACACAAGTCTTACATTCGACGAAACAACACCAGTGAAATTTGCATTCACATCTTTCTCTAATAGTCGATTTCTGCGTGTTGTATCCTCTGCCGCAACAAAGAAGATTGCAGCCATCCATTCCGGATGAGGTCCTGTTGCATAATCTGCCTTGTGTGCCTATTAAAAAAAGACAGCTTGCTATCGGTAGTTACGTAAATTAACAAAGAAAAAACTAGAAAGAGTAATAAAAGTTACAAAACAAACAACTTATCCTTAGAAACAGAACTTGTTTTACCTAATGATCCTAATGTATCGTTTGGAAGACAGTAGTTTGGCGAATCATCTAAATAAATGAGATCACTGGCAGTAGGCACGGAGAATCTCGGATCGCGCATGGATAAACGACCTCGCCGATTTACTTTAACTTCGGTCGCACCGTCGTATTTGTCTAACAAAAAGTCGCCTGAAAATGTAAAAAAATATAACGCGTTGATTTTTTATGATTTTTGTCGTATTTGAATTTGTAAGATCGTAAGGTCGCAACTTACCAATTTCGCGAAACGACGCAAGCTGTTGCCAGCAAGTGATGAGGCTGCAGCTTCCGGAAACGCCGTGACATTTGCACGTCACCTTGGACCTTTTGATGACGGCCTGTGGAGAATAGACGGACAATACATGTTATATGTTTTGTAATGGCAACAAGTTCAGCATGATCAATTCAATGTTGAATCTCAAAAAATCGATACGCTCCGTACGTCTGAGAACACGACATTTAAAAAGAAATTCCTCGCATGTGCTAGACTAAAAAAAGAACAAACTTTACCCTGCGCCCGGCTTCATTGTTGTGCAGATTCATCAAGCTTCTGCCCTGTTCCCGACTGCCTCTCTTGAAGATACGTTCGCGTTCTCGCACGTCAACGAACGCTTGTGTGAATCTGAAATGTGAAACAACGTTTGTCGTGTACTTTGTACTCTAAAACAAAATAAACCATTGAAAATTTTCTTGCGCATTATCTCTCTTTTTCGCAAAAAAAAACCATAAAATCTATGAGCGTACTTATAGCCGTATTCGAGATTATCTCCGCATCCACCCCAGATCCAATCGGGATTCAGATCTCTGGGCCTATTACTCCTCGAACAGCCGCACGACGATAGCTGGCCGTCTCGGCAAGACCGACTAATAGAGTAAACCACGCCAGCAGCGGTGATCGCGTGAACAAACGCGGTTTCCCTGCTCGCTGCAATAATTAATAATCATTTACAAAATATTTTGAAACAATAATATTTGAAATATTTTGAAATAATTTACATTGATAAAAAATATTTCTATCGCAACGCGCTGCAATTCTTGAAGATCAGACAGATCGAAGTATACCTATTCTAAGTATTGGACCGAACACAGTCTCGTCATGTACTGTGGAACAGTTCCATCTTCTGTCTCTAAACTGATGCTGACATTCCATAACGCCGTATTTCGCGCCCTTGGCCACGCTGGACATGTGATCCACGGACAGCTGACAGAGTTTTCCTTGGCCTTGGGACAGTCCCTTCAAACCGCAAATTGCGGAAGCACTCGTCTCGTATTCCTCCGTTGATCGGGCTGCTTCCAATTGCGGAAGATGTCGCAGACCCAGGTTTCTATTTACACGCATTTAAAGAAATTTTCAAAAGATAAAAATTTTAAGACGATGATTAAAAAGATTGTTTATATTTTTCAATGAAAATTTTTTTAACGCTTTTTTATTTTTCTTTTTTGGATTTCGAAACCGTTGTTTTATTCACGCCGATTATAATTTTATCGCGACCTAGCATTATGAGCGATGCCACGACACAGTCCCCAACTCCTGGAGATTTGTTACGCCGATTATATAAATTCGGTGTGGGGTGATGTGCTATCGTCCGTAGGCGCGGAGTGGATTTTCTCTCGACGGCGCGGGGTCCTTAATGGCACATTTGTGAGTCAACCGAGCGAGATGATGGAACGGTATCGTCAAAGGCAGAAGTCGTGGAACGGTCGGAAAAAGAACCCAATCTGAAATTCGAAGCGGGCGAGTGTCCGCGTACGAAGGTATCAATAACGCAAATCCACGTCACAAATCGCGTTTATTCTCGCATTTCGTGCATCAATTGCCAAAACAAATTGTCGAGCATTTGTTTATAAGAGTATACGCACATTTCGATCGATTCGGTAACTTTCGATCTGAAGAATATGAGCGATCGTAATCTTTTGGCAACAACGAAACATTAGTAAAAATCATATAAACAGATTTGAATTAGGCGTTTTTGAAATGAGCAATTTAAAAACAATCTAACTTTAATTATATTTTGCGTCGGATCTATTGTCTGTCAATCGTGTTCGTTCAATGGCGATTTACGCAGTGCCTAAGCCGCGACAACCTGTACGGCTACTCGATGCAATCCGGACGACTTGTCCGAGCGTGACTCAGGTGAATACTCGTTGAGGTTGTTGGCAATGTGATGCGACCGCTTAAGATGTATGAACAACACGCATTATTTCTGAAGAGTAGATAGTGTAGTGTAAAACATAAAATTTATATTTCTATTAAATTTTGTATTAAAAAAAAGATATACGCTCAATATAAAATATTAATCTCTTGTTGACACAAATGAAAAAAAATATTCATCCTCCGGGACGGTTTCTTGTCAACGTATAAAAACGGAGACGCGCGAACATTTCCCGCAGTATTCTATCGAAATATCGCCCGTAACATCCCCGTTTCTAAATGTTACAGCAAGAATATTGTAAAAGCCCGTGCAAGCCTATCTAGAGAGTGTGTAATAGACAACATTAATATTCTCGAACATGCTTCAGCGGCGATATATCATCGGTTTTACACTCCCCTAAAACAATGGCGCGGACATTTGCGAACCGGGAGAATGACGATGAAGAGCGGAAGGGGGAAAAGAAAGAGCGATAATATTTCGACGAGGTACGGCCCACGCAACGCTCGTACGTACGAAGCACCGGAGCCGCGCGTCGTGGGCCGCGGGTCCGAAAAATAATGCCCCGTGTCTCCTAAGAGATTGCGGCTACATCCGCAGTGGCGCGCGTTCATATATGTACGGAGTGTCTCGAGGCGATTAGTTGCAGGTGATTGGATTAAAATCGTCAATATCATCAGTGTCCGAACATAACGATGTTCTAAAATCTGTGAAGATAAACATGACAACTTCGAAGATAAATGTTTTTTGTTTAATTAGGCATTAAGTAATTTCTAATTCGATATAAATATTTATTTACATATTGAGCCAGCTATCAATGATTCCAACTAACTTTACAGTAGCTTGTATAAGCGCATTTTGCCGGGAAAGCAATGAAAGCGAAGAATTTCTTTGCTTATCCTAATTCGTGAAGTAAATTCTACGCGAAGAAAGTTCTGATAAATCTGAACGGCTTACAAAAGAGCACGAATATCCGAGACCATTCGGTAATTGGTCATGCTCACGCAGGGTAGAACACAAGGGCGAAAATAGCAATTCAGAGATTAGACACACTCCCGGCGAAGCCGGGTACGATCGACGAGGGAACAAACTCGCGCTGAGATTTTTGGAGCATGACAGATTTTTCGTTCGTATTTCTCACGATGCGCCCGGCACAAAAAAGTCCATAAATTAAAAAGAGCGTGAAAAATCTCTCAACTCATCTCTTTGTAGTATTGTATATGTTATATCTCTTATATGTCCCAGCAAATACAGATATATAAAACAGCAACATTGTCGTAATAAAACAAATGTAACATGTAATATAACATGGTCGTTGCATGTAACATCCATGTTAGTTGTAATTTCCTACTTATCGTATATTGCAGTTATATAATATGAATATAACATGTAAGTAGAATGTAATATAATTGTTATATAGTTAAAGAAATGTTATATAAAAGTTATAATGTGTCATTACCAGCTAATAACAAGCAATATAATAGATATATAACATAATTATATTACATTTATAAAACAAAATTACATAACATTGATGTTAATAGAGTATAATACAGCTGTTATATTACGTATATCACGCTGTTACTTCTATGTTATATAGCAGTTATATTCTGTGTTTGCTGGGGTGTGTTATATTAACGTATTGTGTGTTATATCTCTTATATGTGTGTTATATTAACGATATTATATATCCTTTTAATGTTATTTTTATTGCTTAATATCTTAATCAAAATGTCTAAGTTTTTTCTTAGTTATTTATGTGTGAGGAAGATTGTGATAATTGTATAACTGACAGTTTTCCATAGAACAATGTTTGGAAAATAGAGCTTCTTTCTTAAGAAAGAACGATACACCATCGATAGTTCATCCTTCGATTGGCGATAAAAGTAGGGCACTCCATGTCCTTCGACATCGGCTTATTTTAAGAGACATATGAGCTTAATGAAAAAAATAGTCGCGTCCCGTGTAACTATAAATACGCGTGTGAAACCAATTAGCACCTTTAACGTGCGATAAAAAAGAAAACTGCCGCATCAAGGCGCGAAAAAAAATACTTACATCCAGGTCCCCGGTAACGTCGAGGCGACGGCGGCAACCAAAAACGATCGCAGGATCACGAGAAGACCATTGCTGCGCATTGTCATTTTTTTCCTGCAAGCATCGGAAGAAATAACAATTTTGTTACAAGTATTTGAAAAGCGCTCTACCGTATGTATTATACTTATGTATACATTGAGAGCGATTGATAGCAAAAAACCAAACGTGACCGTGATAGTGAAATCAAGGACAAATCAATGCATCACAGTCGCGATAATAAAAAAATAAAGGTTCAATTAATCATTACACTTGATAGAAACTGGTTTTCTTACGCAGTAAGAGAAATCGATAAATTACAACTTAATATCTTAATTTATATACGTGTGTGTGTGTGTATTGTGTATATGTTGTAAATGTGTATACATATAAATATATACACATATTTGCACGTACATCCAGCATATTGGCTCTTATCGACTCTAATAATCTTTGTTGATCATTTTCACAAGTTTTATAATTTGTTAAATTTACTGTTGTAAAACAATTTTGCAATTTTTCCATTTCAATTCTTGACGATATATTTAAAAACTATTGATCTCTTCTAAAAATTAATTGAAAGAAAGGAATTGTGTGCGAGAGAGATTGGTATCTGCGAATTGGAAGCGAATAATTTATAGGTGTGCTGCCAGACTTGGTAATGTATACGAAAATATCTTGGCGGAAAAGATATCTTTCGGACTTTCGCACAGGCGACTACAAGAATATACATATATATATATAATCTTTTCTTGGACTCCAAGATAGGACAACGTGTCCGGCTGAAGGTAAAACGCAACAGTGTGTGACGCGAACGGCGGGGTAAGTGATAGACTTTGCAAAGTCGTAACTTAACTCCGCTTGTATCAACAGTTTGTGCAACGTGAGAGCGAGGTAAATCGGGCGCCGCGTCCACCAGGCGCTCGCAAGGTGTAATGTCGAACCGATGTACCATAATCGTCTTGGACTCTCGAGTGTCTTTCCGTGCCCGCTCTAGGTCCGAGACCTGAAGCTATAGCTCTGCTGCCTACGGGAAACAGTGACGTAGCTGAAACGCGCGAGTTCTCGAGTGAAAAGCTCATCGATGAAACACTTCTGCTTCTGTCAACATTAAGTGTCACTTTGCGGCTACATTGTACAAACGACGTTGCATAAACTTTTGAACCGTGTGTGTGTGACTTTTCGAAGTAACGGTGTATACAAAAAAAAAGCAAGTGTACGTATCGTCAACGCCCATACACTTCAATTAATTTCAATACCATAAGATTCGAATCTAAAAAGCCTTCTCTGGACTCCGTTTATATAATTCTAATTTACGATATTTTTATGGTAAAGAATTATGAGAGAAGAAAAAAGATAAATGTATACCTACAGTGTTTATGTATGTATTCTCAAATCGTCAACTCTTGCTACACATAGTAGCAATTACGTTCCTGCCACGGAACTGGTATACACACGTACATACACGTATACACACGCTGTGCCTGTTCTTACATACAGTATATTGCCGTATATATCTAGCCCACGCGATCGGCCGCCGATATTAGCCGGCGTATATAAAATGCATTTGTGATCACAGTGGGAATGGAAATAACGCGTGCACTTCGGCACACACGATACCCTTTTCTTTCGTCTTTTTTTTCTCTTTTTTTTATATGAACTATGCGCGAATTACCAGCGATAAAACATCTCGCTGGCTCACGCCGTACAAGACCGGGCAATATAGAAATGCAATAAGCGCCACCACGTCTGTTGCTGAACGAGCTAATCGCCAATTCCGCGCGGCTGCGTTATTCGAGTGTTGTAATGAGCACAGTAGCTCGTAATATCTATATACGTGTGTACATGTATATGCACACATCGTGTTTGCATAATCCTCATGACAGGAGCCGCCAGCGCGTAAGCTGCCGAATCGTAAAATGCGATCGTAACTCGAAAGCGATTAAATTGTTCGAATGCTTAACGGTTTCGAAAAGAAGTATGATTTACTTCCGCCATTAACGTGCCAACGATGTACAACAGACAGACAATTTTTAAAGAATTTTTAAAGAAGCAACTAATTAAAAAAAATTAAACACTGTAAAAACTTTTTGAACTGCGAAATTGACCGTATCCCTTTCGAACAATAGAGACAACTTCATTCTTCAAAGAGTTCTTCGATATGTAGATTACGATCTCAGAGTGTAATCGCGAGAGAAGCGAAGGAGGAAAAACTAGGAATGTGAGCGAAGTTCGCATAGTTATTTCAGAATTTTAGAAACCTAATCGGAAACGCGCCAATATACAGGTGCGAGTTGTTAATCGTATTCTCGGATAGCGAGCAAAACAACTCGAGCTCAAGAACTCGAGCTTTGTGTGAAATGATCTCCCGTGGGGAAATCGAGTCTAGATTTTCACGAAGGGCAGCCAGGACGACGACTCGAGGAGTCCTCTTAACGAAGCTGGAAGCTAAGAATCGTGTACATACACTCGAGTCGCACGTACGCAGAAGAAAACGAGAGCCGGGGTAAAGGAGCTCAGTCCTGCTGGTTGACCGAGAAAGTTGCGAGAGAGAGAGAGAGAGAGAGAGAGAGAGAGAGAGAGAGAGAGAGAGAGAGAGAGAGAGAAAGAGAAAGAAAACGAAAGGAGGTAGGGACGCAAAAGGGACTGCGAGACAGGAGAAGAAGGTAGGAACTGGTAGTGGAAAGAAGAGAAGATGAGAAATATCTATACTTGGACGCGCGGAGGTGCATGGGGAGAACGTGAGTACAGTGAGGACCGGTTGACGCGCGCGTCTGTCAATAATACTGTGTACGTATTACTAGAACAATTTGGTGCACCGAGAAACCAGTTATTAAATTTACAGGAATCACAAAAGCTCGTTTTGTCCCTTAGCGATACAGAGAAAATATTAACAAGAGAAAAAGATTCTGCACAATGTACGTAAGATAAAAATATGCCAATTTTCTGAAACGTAAAGTAATTGATTGAAAAAAACGTTTTTGATTACAAAATAAAAATGTTTGACAGGACAAACTTGCACATTCTACCTGTCCGGTAGAATGAGCGAAATCGACCGAAGTGAATGGAGAGTTCTCGAAAAGATCGCAACGACACCGAGGACTAATTACGTACATTAAGAAGAAGAGAGGCTGTCTTTACAAGAACATAAAAAGAAAACAAAAAAGATATTCGTTGAACATTGTAATTGTTGATTACACACACACACACGCGCGCGCATACATTCACGCACTGTATACACACCTTACATTCCCGCTACTCTGTCCAATCGTAACTCATAATTTTTATGGCGCTTTCGAGAAAGCACCTTATTAACATTCAGCCATACTAATTTATCCCGGGAAAAGTAACTTTTCATTAAGAAGTATATATCCTCTTTTAAATATGTACAAAACAGCGACATATTAAATCTTTTTGAAAGATTGTTACATTGTTATATGGCAATTGCAACGTCTCACATGTAGAAAGAGAGAAAAACAGTGAATGGTGCTATTTATAATATTTCAGATGAACAAAGTATTATAATTATTACGTACATTAAGAGGATCCTAAAGTAATTCTGTTTTATCGATAAAACTGAATTTTGGAAATATCGATAAAAACTAAAAAATAAAAAAAAATGGAAATTTTTTAAACATTTTTTTCATTTTGTTGTATAAATTTGAACATCTCTTATTGTATGTACTTCAATTGTAGAAAAGAGTTTATCAATCCATACAGTTAAAAAAAAGATGAGTGTATGCACAGAAAATTCAATTTTATTGATAAAAGAGACTCACTTAAGGATTCCCTTAAGAGAGAAGCTTGTTTTACAAGAACACTTGATAAATATTATAAAAATATTATAAATATTATTTATAGTATTATAAAAATAGCTTTTTTACGTTCTTCAACATTGTCAGTGCCTTTGTTTGTCCTGATCGAGAGATAATCCCCGTCCAGGATAATCACAATTACTATCGTATTTTGATCGAAGGATAACGGAGTATTCGATTTTATAATCGATCATTCACGTCGCGCATTACGTTATATAGTTTGGACCGTCATTATCCTGAGCGTTTCTCTCGCGTGTGCGCGTCCTTAAATGATCTAGAAGAAATAATCTCCGGTAATCCAAGGGGACCAGTTCAATATGCTCGTCATATTATAATACTCGCGTACTCGCATGTAAAAGTAATCGACGATGATGCATCATGTAAAGTATTTTCACTCACGGCACGAACATTTTCGCTCGGCTTAATAGCATGCGATCGTAAAACGCGACAGTTTTAAAACGCGCTTTTCACCTCGTTTAAAAGGCGTCGAGAAAAACAGCCACAGTCGAGATGCTTGTACCACTATTCGACACGATAACCGTTGTTGTGAGATTGTTGTGTTTAATGGCCGCTGTCATTTAACCGCAACAATTTCGAGCGACATTTTACGTTCCTTCCCTTCACAATAAGTTCGCGCGATTGTTACGCTCAGTTTTCCGCGATTGAAAATAAACGGTGGTAATTATTTGCAATAATGGACACAGCGTCGAAATCATCCATGACCTTCGATCGGCGCGCTATGATGTGTATCTGTTTTTGCAAATAATTACTTGGGAGAACGTTCTCTATTTCTCGTGAGAAATAATTTGTAATGAGATTACAGAAGGGAAGGATCGATGACTGGAGTCTTCCTGGAGTATGTTTATTGTTCGTGACAGTTGCAAAGTAGAGCAAAGTCGAGGCACATAACGGAATGGTCATTTGTGAGATGAACTCCGGGCGAGTCGCGGCGAGCCGTTAAAAGAGGGGCTGCTGCCTATTAATCTGCCGAGACATCGGTAAATCATTGCCAGTTCAGCGACCATCGTCGGAAGACAGAAATCCTCGAGGCTTTTCTAGGTTCGTTATCTCGATTTGCAGTTATACTATCTTGGAATAAATGCGTTTTGTCTAGTAACACTGTTTTAGAAGACATGTTAATGTTTTGTTTTTTTTACAAATTTTCAGTTTTTGAAAAAGAGAGAGAAAGAAAAGAGAGAAATATAATTTAGAATCCAAATGCCATATTAGAAAAAAAAAATTGTACATAAAATGTATAGAAAATAAAAATTGAATAGATAATAAAAGGATTCTTATAGTGTTCGCGATTTTGTGCGACTCGCGGTGCACGCGAACAATCGCGAAAGCTTATCTCGACGCTTTTATCGAGCACCGACCGCCACCGTACACCATCATCGTATATATACCATATCGACTACCTGTTAACGAGATCCTGTTACGACAGACTCGCAATTCCGCGCGAGAATGTCCGCGAACGTGGCTTTGCGCGATGCTGTTTACTCTATACGACGAGAAAGAATCTCATTACAATTTCTGTCGTACAAAAAGAAAATCGAATCAACGCGCGATAAAGTCGCGATAAAATATATAACATCAGAATTAATACGCACCGACCACTTTCGTTCCGAATAGCGCAGTTAACTTATCCTGATTATCCGCGTATAATCATCTAATATTTTTATCAGACCATCACATAAATGTGTCTCTTTAGTTAAACTATTAGCAGCACCGCGCAAATACATTAATATAAGAGAGATATTAATGTTCTTGTATGGAATTGCACATTTATTGCATCAATTCATTCAAGTTTGCTTCGTGAAAATTTTCAATAATTTTCACAACTGCCATTAAAATACTACTGTACAATTTTCAGATCTTACTGCATTTTTAGTACAATTTATTAAGCGATAATAATTAGCCACTGTTATAGAAATGATTTTTTATTTTGTAAGAATCGAACATTTAAAATCTCACGAAGAAAAACAAATAGAGCCGTCGTGAAATTACGTCAATTATGTCAAACATCGAGATATAAACTTTCGCAAGTTGTCGTATAATCAAATAATTACTCACCGTAATGAAACAAGCAGTATCAAAGGTAATTGCGTTTTTTTGACACGGCTCAGCTGCGGGACTTGCACGTCTGTCCTCGTTTAATACTAATCGCACAATTTGAATCGGTCTCCTCTTTTTTTTATCGAAAATAATTCCCGCGGTAAGCCCTGGTCTTTTCCGCGAACAGTCCTGCGGGCGTAACTGTTCCTCTTCTTGTTCGCGCGATCACAAAGTGTCGCCGTTTCACGTCTCATTTTGCGACTCATAATATCCACTGGCTCGCATAATTAGACGCGCGAGATCCGACCGAGTGGCTTGCCCGACCTCGGCAATCCTTCCCCGACACTACACGACGGAGAACGTGCGCTGGAGGAGTGAGATTTCTTCTCGGGGAGCGAAACCTGATCGCCTGGGCGAACTGCTTGCGCGATTGCGATCTTGACGGAATAATTTCCGCCGAACTCGTCGCGGGAGCCCCCGTAAACGATCTGCGACTAGCCACCGAGTTTTTCCTTCTTAATTCTTGTTCCCGAATAATATTCGCTCAAGCCGGTTGACAATCCGATATCACAGGGATTACTTCTTGGTATAATTATCGTAATTTTTTCTTATAGAAGTGAATATTCAATATATATTTCATTGTTCACTCAGATCTCGATCTTGTTCCGCACGGAATGACCAGAATAAAAGCGAATCATCGGAGCGCATCGCGCATTGATTCTTAAAACACGATTGTTTTCAAACGCCGTGCAAAAGTAATTTTAAAAAATGTTACTTCTGACAAATGATGCGTGCGAAAAAATTAGAATCTTTTTCGAGTTAAGCTCTTAAAGTGGTAAAATTTAAAACTGGACGTCTCTTTTTAAGATGATCGCTGGATGAATCCTTTTTTTTCGGGGGTACCTGGTCGAGAATCGCCGGTTAAGAACTCGGTCGTGGCGACTGTGAAGATGAAGAAGTTGGTCCCGACGGAATCATGAGAGTTCTCGCGAAAGAAACAAACTCTCTCACGGCACCTTTCACCAAATCACTTCCCGAGTCTTGTCCTGTGGCGTCCTGTCGTCGCCAACTTGCAATTCGCATCCAACGACGAAGGAAGGACGACAAAGAAGTTGAAGAAGTTGAGACACCGAGGTGAAACCGACGGTTCTCTTCGACAGCAGCTTCTTTTTTTCTGCGAACGCGAGAGTGACCTCGTTGGAGAACGCTTGTTCCTCGTGGTGTTCTCGGGGTGGTCCACGAGGTACGCTGCGCGAAACCTTACCGGCGCGGCGTGTTGGTACAGAATGATCGCGGCAGGGTCCACGAGCCCATCATAATCCCTCTCTTTCCCTCCTCGTTTTCGCTCTATCTCTCTTTCCCCCTTTTTTCTCCCGCTCCCTCTTGACCATTCACGTATCCCTTCTCTCTTTCTCCCCGAACGATGTTTTTTCTCTCTCGTGCCTCCTTACCGTAGGTTTACGGCTCTTTCTCTGGAGAGGGAACCCCTCGATAGTCGCACGAAAGCCGCCGGCTGCTTCTCTCCCCTGCTACTTTTCTGCCTTTACGTTCGTCTCTTTTTCTCTCTCTCCCTCTTTCTCTTCTTTTCTCTTATTCGCTTCCCTCCTTGCCGCCGCACGATGGCTGGTTCATTGGTTTCATCAGTGCACCGGCTCAGGCTTCGTATTCTTTTCTCTAATTATACCGTTACGTGCAATCGCCCGTGTCAATTAGCAACTCCTTTCTTTCGTTCCTCTTCTGCGCTTCTCTTTTTTTTCTTCTCTCGCAGGATCCTGCGTGGCATGCAACCCCTTCGGAGGGATCATTGCGAGAAGAAAAGGGAAAAGGCGGGCGGGAGAGAAGGGTGAAGACGAGGAGAAGGCAGGGCGAGAGATGGCAACGCGCGGCGATCGGACCCGCCAATTAATCCTTTGTATCGTTCAAGTCCGCCGCTCGTAAAATGAGACAAGGTTGGAGAGAAACGAAACCTCGAAGTCGCAATTTCCTCCGAAGATAAATCAGCATGAGTGCAACTTAAACACGTATGCAGAAACTTCTAAAAAGACATAGAGACACGCGTAATATAATAAACTGTTAAAAAAAGTAAAATAAAAATAAAAAGGTTAAAAAACAAAATATACACGTTTGAAAAACACGCGTTAAAAATGAGATTTTGCCCTTACCTTCCAAAAATAAAACAACAAAACCGGCAATAAAAAACAAAAAAAAATTAAAAAAAATAAAAAAAAAAGAAGAAAAGAAAAAAAAGAAACGATCGGAAATTGTCTGAGTTAAAAATTATCGAGTTTTCCATGATCGATGAAAAATAAGATTTCTCGGATAACGTGTAAAACCGCGCGTAGAGTTGGCACGGTTCTGCCAAGAAACTGCGCTGTTAATTAAGGAGATCGATTGCACATAACGGTATAATTAAAGGAAAGAAAGAATCAAAGCGCCGGTTGGTGCGCGTCGACGAATAAAACCGTATCTCTTCATCGCGTGGTCCGACACATATATAGTCTAACGAGCAGGGCATTATAAATGGAGGATGTTTATCGTGACGCGTAAAATGCCGAGATTACAGACAAAAGACCCTGGTACTCTCTCGCCGCGCGCGTTTAACGCTAAACGATTCTCCGTGTTCTCTGATTTTTATCGCGCATTAATATCGAACGCAATCATCGCGAATGAAGGTAAAAAACGAAGGTAGAAACAGCTGCGTTTAGCGATAAATGTGATCTGTAGATCACAAAAAAAAATTAAAAACACAAAAACTGCAAATGTGTCATCGATCTGTAAAGCACAAAAGAATTAAAATAAAAACTAAACAGACCAGAAAAGCTTGTGTATTAATTACTATATGTATGTTAATTACTATATGTTTCAATGCTAAATATGCATGTCGCGCGCACATATAATACATATGAAGACCACAGGAGAAGAACTTGATAAGTCATATTTTCGTAATTTTAGAGAAGAACGATTTTAAAGTTCAAAACGTACGTGTATTTCTCTGTTACACGTTTTATAAAAATGCTTACCTCTCGGAATTCGAGAATTTCCTTCTCTTGCTTTGGATAATTAAAATACTCTATTTTAACCACCAAATAATTTTCTGATAATATCAAAACCAGAAAATTGAAAAAAATGAACTTATATTAAATTTTTCTCCCGTGATCTTTATATGAAATTCAATAAATTGTTGCTGTTTGCTCTTTGCTAAAATAAATTTACATTTCTTCGGAATATTCATTAATTACAACACTAACTTATTGGAATACTCATTAATTATGCGTTTATCCGTGAGTACCGATACGCTAATTGCAATCGATTAATCTGTCTATCTACCGTCTCTCGAACAGAGTGACACGCGCGATCGATCACTTTAATTGAAACAGATTACAGTTCCCTCTTCCCGACCACCGCGCAACGAAACATCAATCGAAGGCTTTCGTATCGTATTCCACAATATTGTCACATGGAAAAATGCCAGACGCACTGTGATTGTTATCAGAGTGTTTGTTTGTAGATTTTTTTTTTAATGACAACATAATAAGAAATAATGACAACGTAATAAGAAAAACCTGGCGGATATATTTTTTTCATTACAGATATATATTTTTTATCGGCGTTTTTGTTATTACAAACACATTTTATACAAAAAACACATTCAACTTTTCCATTATTCATGCTGTTCTTTTACAAACATTTAGTGTTCGTTACTTAGTTTAATACTAGGAAACCTTACAAATAAATAAGCTTTTAATGATGTACAGTTTTTGGGTTTGAACTTTTGAACAGACTGGAAAATGTATTTACTGCAGATATTACTTACTGCGATAAAGATATTATATATAATACATAGATAATGTACAAATAATTCGAGGAGAGTCTATCATTAAATATATTATACTATGAATTATACAATTCTTCGTACCTCAAAGAATCGCTTCAAGTAAGAGATTTGTCCTACTGTCACGCAAATCAACACCAAGGTTTCGAAAAATGCCCAGACTACAACTCGAAAATTTGTACTCTCATTAATCGCTCTGTGATTGCGATCGCGAACCTAAAATTGCAAACAAAACAAACATTACAAACTGTACATAAAAACTGATAAAAAGACAATTGTATAAATTGTTTTTATGTGATTATATGCACAAACTTGGATAAGTACCTGCATATATTCTTGTTCATTTTTCACACCCCATAAACTAGTGCTCAAGTCTTTAATCATGTCGTCTAATTTTGCTTGACTACCTTCTCCATCTTGGCCTCCTTCTCCATTCTGATCTTTTTGTTTATGATTTTCATCAATATCCATATTGAACATCACTACTTTTGGTGTCATTGTACTCTTTTGATTGCTAAAGCAGTAAGTGTAAACACCTGATGTGTGTGCGGCAAACGTGTACTTCCCGCTGCTCTCTTGCTCACCCTGATAAATTGTTCTACCATCCGGACCAGTTATCATTACATCTATATCTAGAAACCCACCCTCCGCTATTTCAAATGTGAGGCCTGAAAATAAATGTCACAAGTTAAATTGTACGAAAAAGTTTTTTTCTTTCTATTTAACGTGTCGCCACTACTGCGTCAATCTGGCTATTTGGCATAAATATAAGTATAAAATATTCAGAAAAAACTGACCCATCTTGGTGCCGGTTTCAACCTTGTCAAAAAAGCATTCCTCAGCGTGCGCATCCACAGTAATAAAATAGCATTGCCCGTAGACAGTGAAGAAAACGAGAAACACGCACGAGATCAACCACCTCATGTTTTTCTACCAAACTTTGTTATACAATCATATAAAAATGACATATGCTTATGTATATTTCTCTCGGTCACTGGTATCACAGCGACATGTTGCTCTATCACAGCGCCACGTACGCACTTGGCTCAGAGTTTCTCAAGGCTGCGTTCCGATATTCACTGTCAATAGGTCTGTTTTTCTTGCATACACTTTATACACTTTAGTGTAAAGTGTACACTTTAGCGTTTTTCTTGCCGGAAGTGACATTGAGTTACGTCATTACACGCTGTTCTTCTTGAAAGTGTAGTANACTTTAATGACGTAATTTACACGTTTTGTACACCTCCTTGAGAGGTGGTGTAAAGCTAGTGTAAGGGTCATTACACGTGAAAAAATTTTAGCCGTAGCCGTAAGGTCGTAAGCAATTTAACCAATTACAGACCAGTATTATCTTACATTAGTTGGAATGCTGGCCAGCGATTGGTCGATTTGCTTACGACCTTGCGACTACGTCTAAATTTTTGCTAATGGCCTTAACGTTACAGCTTTAGTTTGTTTATGTTTTGAATGTCATTTTAGAACTCAGTTGGATGTGATGAGATCAAGTAAAGTAATAGGTTATTGTATCAAATTTTACATATATATAATAAGATATGTGTTAAAATATGTTAAATTCATTACAATACCATTCTTTCAATATGATATAAATTATAAATTCTTTAAATATAGTATTAATTTATATGTTAAATTATTAAAAATTATTTTGTTTGTGTAGTATGTTTTTGTTTTTTTTTATTTCTCTTTGTATTTTTTCTTTTCTTATCGGATGACAGATCAAACTCCAAAATATGACCAAGCATTTCTGCATTTATTCTATTTATGTTACACTTGTAACAGTACAATTATTAACTTTTAGCAGAGAGAAACCTGAGAGCGGCCATCCTATTGTAATTTTTTACGACGGTTTCAGTCGCTGGTTTTAGCCGTTTTTCCACAAAAGTGGAACTCAAAGGCCGTTCTACATTAAACGCAACTAGCAGATCTCATGGAACTGATCAATCACGTTGNTCGATTGGCTGATTTGACTCTGCAATTGGTCAATTCCACGAGATCTGCGACTTGCGTTTAATGTAGAACGGCCTTTGAGTTCCACTTTTGTGGAAATACGGCTGAAACCGTCGTAAAAAATTACAATAGGATGGCCGCTCTCAGATTTCTCTCTGCTTTTAGTTACAGTAATACACTTTTGTTACACTTTGGCGTTTTTCTTGAAAAGTATCATATATGTAATACTCTTATATTGCTAGTCGCGTATCTTCGCAATGAGAGGCACGAGGCCCGAGAAAGGGAGACGCACGAAGTCCAAATATGGGCATAGATGGTCGAGCGTCATTATGCGCAGGCGCATCTACCAAGTGAGTGCGAGCGAGATAAAGCATTAGAAAATGAGAGAAAAAACGCGAGAAAAAGAAATGCGCAAGCGTGCTTGAATGTTCACCGCATGCGCACAAAGCAGCTGGAAAGAGAGGCTACTATGGCTGTGTTTCAAAATTCACTGCCAGCGCTAAAGATCTATAGTTTAAGTCACATATATTATACAATTTTAGCACTGGCAGCGTGCTGGCAGTAAATTTGGAACACAGCCTATATTGTCTGCACCGTAACGGTGAGCTTCAGGTCGGCACCGTACTAGCAATATAGAAGTATTACATATATGAAAAGCATACACTTTACACGATGTTTCTCCCACTTCCAAAAAGTGTAGTGTATTAAAAGTGTAAGGTGTACACTTTACACTTTTCGTATATGCAAGTAAAACAAACCTAATACTAGAAATCTATAATGTGTGTTACGTGACCTAAAGCCCGTTCTACATTGATCGCAAGAGCAAACGCAATAATGGTACAATTGTCTAATCGTATTGATCAAATCAGTCAATTGACCAGTGTGATTGGTCACTTCTACAAGATCTATACTTTGCGTTTGCGCTTGCGATCAATGTAGAACGGGCTTAATAAATTTTCAATACTGACGAAGAGAAGACTTTAGGTCTTTGCACAAACCCTTTTTTTGTAACGCGTTACGTTACGTTGAGTACTAACCATAAACTTAGGGTGCCAGTATGTGAAGCGCGGAAACGTGGAAACGCGGAAGTCAAAAGTAACTAAACTTTACTAGATTTCTGTGTTTCCGCGCGTTCCGTTCCGTCGGTTTTGATTACCTTATATTACATGGAGCATATATTGTGCGGAAAAGCGTAACGGAAAATTATAAAATATCAATTTTTAACAATATTTACTGATTACAATGTTTGTATTCAATAAATAAACTGAAAAAATAAACATATTAATAAAAATTGCAATGAATTAAGAGAAATCAATTTTTTAAAATAAATACAAATATCTATTTGTATTTATACTAACCCTATTTATATTAACATTTATACTAACCCTATTTGTCACTATATCGTTCCGATTTTCCGCGTAATTGTGCTCAATGTAATATAAGGTAATCAAAACAGACGGAACGGAACGCGCGAAAACACAGAAATCTAGTAAAGTCTAGTTACTTTTGACTTCCGCGTTTCCACGTTTCCGCGTTTCCGCGCTTCATATACTGGCACCCTTAGGGCGATGTCCCATTGAGCGGAAATCTATAGCGGAACGGAATGTGCGGAACCAGCTCGACCAATCGTAACCACAGAAAAAGCGAAGGAAAGAAAACGGAATGGCTATGATTGGTCGAGTTGATTCTGCACATTCCGTTCCGCTATATATTTCTGCTCAATGGGACATCGCCCTTAGACTACGTTTACACGTACAGGCGCGGTCACTGGTCTAGTTTCCACCGAAGCATTAATTCACACCTAATGCAACGTAGAATCAAATTTAAGTAGATGAAAACCTGTCAAATTGCGCTGATTTCGCTTTCGCTTTGATCTATAAGTACTCTACTTCCAATAGAAACGAAACACTAAATTTAATCCGTATTCGGAGTGAAACCGAATTGAGGGTTTCGGTGGAAACTAGACTACTGAATCGTTTCGTGGACGCAGGGGGCTAGAGGTAAAAGGGACGGTATTCCCTAACGGTAAGTAGCGTCAACGGGCGCCGTCCTAACTAACTGTAGCAATCATCTGATCCACAACTGCGTCGTATCGATAATGTCAATGCTTTCCTTGACCAGAGAGAAGCCTGAGAGCGGCCACGGCTATAAGAGTTTCTGTCATAGCTTTTCGTGGACATGGTTCTATTCCGTGCTAATTTTGTGGACATGGTTCTATTCCGTGCTATGAAAACACCGACGTGGTGGGGATACGCACACAAGCGAGAACCGTCGTCATACATCACGAAGTAAGAATAAGGAGACTTAACTACACAAAGTAAAAGTGGCTATGAAAAATGTTCCGTGTAAGAGGAGGTTCACTAAACAGAATAACTTGCAACATTTCATCGCCATCTTGAAATTGTAAATGACAGATAGTAAGAAAAGATTGTAAAGGTTAGAAGAGTACACAGAGAGCATAAAACGTATGAAAATAAAAGAAAAAAATAAAATATTCTAAGTCTGTTAAAGAAAAATT